GATCAGGTTAATACTTCTCTCGGAGCATGTAATTGAACTTTGGATTGATTTGTCTCTCTATCTGTGACCAACATTAAGTCTGAAATTTTTGTAACCTAGGTGGATTTACTTGATCAAATGACTGCCATGGCTAATTTGCTATTGTAATCATTGTTACGTTATTTGTGATGAAAATGGTTTTCCTGGTTCTGTTTTCAAAAAACTCGAGCCTAGTAGGCATTTTGTTCTTAAGCATTTATGGTGGGTTTCATTATTTTCTCTTAAATTTTCTTGGTGAGAAATCATAAAAGACTAAAAAGTTTTCAAACTAAATTAATTCGTACGGTCATATTTTCAATATACCAACCCCCAAAAAAGATTAATATCTTTTAATTTTTATCTTGCACAGGTAAAAAGGTTTAAGCCTCAACTTGTTGCTGTTAGAAATGAGTCCCTAATTGCTGAACTAGAAGAGGCTTTGGATGATGTTGAACAAAAACCTGAGATCATCCCTGGAGAGCAGGGAGTAATTGAGGTGGACATCTGGTTTGTTCATATTATGCAAATTTGGCTTAGAGAGCCAATATTTTTTTCTCTTAAGTTATAGCTTATATATTCTCAGGTTGCTCGTCACCCGGAAGCAGTCACTGTAGTCACGGGAATAGTAGGTTGTGCAGGACTCAAGGTAACCTCCTTTCCTTGTTTTTGGCCTTTATTGGTAACCAATCTATTTCGGATACTACGTAATGAGGTCTTCTGTGCATGCATCTACATATCTTTTAATATTAACCTTCATTGATCACATCTGACAATTTGGAGAATATCTTCTTCTTCTTTTTTTCGAAGAGGGGGGGATGGGGTAGAAGGATATCATTAGTTCATAGTGAGATATCAACAACAACAACCTACCAAGCGTTATCCCACTAGGTGGAAAATAGTTAGGCATGCTTATTAATTTTATATCAGAACATTGATTGTTTGAAAGGGGAATGATCCATTAAACCTCGAAGTAATGGATGGCATTCTATATGTTAACTAAATTTGTAGCAAGATTAATCAGAGAGAATAGACCCTAAACTAAAGATGGTATTGGTTACAATTTATCAGACAACAGATTTAGAAAGTTGAAATTCCTTTCATTATTTTATTAGCCAACAGTTGCTGCAATAGAAGCAGGGAAAGACATAGCTTTGGCCAACAAAGAGACACTGATTGCTGGAGGTCCTTTTGTTCTTCCTCTTGCTAAGAAGCATAACATAAAAATACTTCCTGCTGATTCAGAACATTCTGCCATTTTTCAGGTAAGAAAGCACATAATCTACTAAAATTTATGTGTGTGCCAAAAGATCATTAGACTCTAGATTAGCCCATGTCATTTATTACTCATATTATGCTATGGTCTGTGCATCTTTTATATTGAACTCGAGCAGTTATTTTATCATCCTGCTCCGCTTGTTACTGCAAAAACTTAAAGGATTCTTTGCTTCAGTGTATCCAGGGGTTGTCAGAGGGTGCACTTAGGCGAATTATTTTAACTGCATCTGGAGGTGCTTTCAGGTGTGTAAAATAAACCTAACATGTCTGCCCTTTTCTGTTTTGCATGTTCAGTTGCTCCGTGTTTTCTTTCTATGTTGGAACTTGGAAACATTTATTTTTTCTGAAATGGAAGGAAACTGGAGGGGAATATGTAGCACTCTAAACTTTCTAATGTATGTCTGAATTTCTGGATACTGTCAGCCTGTCATACCATGATGTAGATGACTTGAATCAATATTCTTTGATCATGGAGAACCTTGAATCGTTCCTCTCTTAGTTCTGTTTTCAGGCTTTATATAATCAACCTGACTTGTATTATCCCCAGGGATTGGCCTGTTGATAAACTGAAAGATGTTAAAGTTGCTGATGCATTAAAACATCCCAACTGGAATATGGGAAAAAAGATAACTGTGGACTCTGCTACCCTTTTCAATAAGGTTTGTTTCTTTCTGATGCCAATATATTGGATGAGAAAAGTCTTCGTATGAATCTGTATAATTATGTGATCTGAATTTCCTAGCTATAAGTTAAATTTCTTCTACTTATTTGCAGGGTCTAGAAGTAATTGAAGCACATTACTTGTTTGGAGCTGACTATGATAATATTGAGATTGTCATTCATCCACAATCAATCATACATTCAATGGTTGAAACACAGGTTTAACCCTTATACTATGTTGTGTTGGCTTCCGCTTTGTAATATCCATATATTCAGATACATACAGTTGATGAACAATAGCACATACAAGTTCCCAGCCCTTGGCTAAATTAGCAAAGGGGTGGAGTGAGCTTGTGTAATATTAATATGGAAAAAAGAATAGAGATGAAAGGAGATTAAGATCATTGTTGAGATATATAGTCCCACATTGGTTGTATGTGCAACTAATGTGGAGTTTATAAGGTCTTGGGCACTCCCACCCTTTGAGTTAGCTTTTGGGGTGGTGTATCCCAAGGTTCTTTACAATCATTAAATATTGTTTAATCTTTATCTATTACTAAATTATTTCTTAATTCCAGGATTCATCTGTTCTGGCACAGTTGGGGTGGCCTGATATGCGTTTGCCAATCCTCTATACGTTATCATGGCCTGACAGAATTTATTGTTCTGAAGTCACTTGGCCTCGACTTGATCTTTGCAAGTACTATTTTTTCCCCCTGCAACTTACACATTTCAACTCCATCAAATTGTCTTTAGTCCGTACTGAACAAATAGAAAATCCACCTTACATAGAGTTTTGTAAATTTCAAAGCCTTTTATTGTTAAATGGAATTTTATAAAGTCCAATTTGAATTATCAATGGTTCTTATAATGAATGATCAGATAATTTAATTTTTCTTTTCCATTTTGGCTCGGAGTATATTTCATTCTTCATGTATTGCCATGGAATGTAAAAATGAAGGATTGGAGTTTCAGGACAATGTGATAACTTATTTCATTTTTCTTTTTTTCCCCCCTTTTCTCTGCCGTTTCCAATTGTATCAAGTCGAGTAGTTTCATGCAAGCATGTTTAGTCCTGTAAATACTGTGAAGGAATACTAAGTTTGTGCATTATAGCTTTCACATGGGTTAATTCTCAAGCAGCATCTAGAGAAAGGCATAAACTATGATCCTATAATTACCATTCCACTATATGTGTCCATTACTATCATGAAATTTAACTATGTAAGATGAATCATTTAATTAAATTGAAATTGGCATAGAATATTTGTTCTTACTTTGTTTGACAGAGCCATATTTGAAATGTGATTATGCAGGCTTGGTTCACTAACATTTAATGCTCCTGATAATGTTAAGTATCCATCCATGAATCTTGCCTATGCTGCTGGCCGTGCTGGAGGCACCATGACAGGAGTTCTTAGTGCAGCAAATGAGAAAGCTGTAGAAATGTTTATTGATGAAAAGTAAGAATTTTTTATTACTTTCCTCATTACAATTTTTGCACTAAGAATTTTGTTATATACTTATTTTTACATAGAATTCTTTACCTTAAGAGATTTTTCTTATGTGATGCGGATGCGGGTGACAAAGGTGGGGATTGAGGAAATGAGTCTGTAGTTGCATCTAAGGCTCACATCATGCTTATCACCTTGGAGGGATGCCGCATAACTGAAATCTGACCATTTGGATAGTCATGCAAATTGCCACTGTTTGATGGCAACGAAAATAATATATGATGAGCTAACAAGCTGCACAAATTGGTTGTCCTAAAGGAACTTAAGAAGACTAATAAGTTGTGCATTCTAAAAATACTGCAGTTACAAACAACCTTCAAAAAATATTTTTACTTCCATCCCAACATCATCTCAAGATGAATCACCCATACAAATACATGCACTAAGTTTTATTTGAAAACTCAAAATACTGACTCGTTTTCAGGTTTGTCAGAAGATATCACTTGGCTCTTGTGGAAACTTGCATTCATGAAGCATTGGAATTCCTTATATTGAAAGTTAAAATAATAAAGTGATTTGTTTGTTGGTTAAAAGCCTTTCGTGTATGTAATTTATGTTTGTATTTGGACGGGGCATAGCATTTTTTTGAGGTCTTCAACCCTTGATTATGTGGCCATATTACTTTGATTATTTAGCTGTATTTTTCATGTGGTTCATGTGTTATAATTTAAGTGGGTGTAGCACCAAGTTCTTCAATAGTTATCTTTTTTGTAGAAATTTCAGCAATAGTTATCTTTTTTGCAAATGTGAATTCTCCTCTAAATGGTTGTTTTTCTGTTTCCAGGATTGGCTATTTGGATATTTTCAAGGTTGTGGAGCTAACATGTGAGAAGCATCAAAATGAATTGATATCCTCGCCTTCCCTTGAGGAAATTATTCACTATGACCTGTGGGCACGAAAATATGCTGCTAATTTGCAAAGCTCTTCGAGCTTTACTCCTGTCCCTGCATAGACACTTCTATAAGACCTGGGGGATGTGGCTGATTCCTGCAAACTGCTACCATAATTCACCATAATGTCTGTGGGTATTGAATAATTGTATACAATGTAGAATGATGCATTCCCCAATAATGAAAAATGAAAAAATATTTTTTAATGGAATTTGAAGATTTTAACACATTTTAATTATATACATATATTATCTCATCTCATCTCAATTCTTTTTGTTTGTTTCTATTTTCGTGGCATTCCTCAGTCACACTTGAGAGATAGAAACTAACAAGACAAAAAATATATACATCTGTTTTTGTTGCCACAAATACATTCCTCACTTTTGTCTGCCACTGCCATATAACTAATAAGAGAAGAATGAGAAAAGTGTGTATCATTTTAAAAGGATGTAAAATTGTGTTATTTTAAGTGAGAGAAAGAGATAGATAAAAGAGGAGATGGAGTGGACAAAAAAATATAAAAAGAGAGAGAAAGGTGATCATGGGAAGAATCCTGGCAAATCAAGTGAAGAACTTGACATTCTTCAAAGAAGTAATAAGAGGAATAAAGGTGAAGGAGATCAGTTTTCAAATGATGTATCTATGATACCTAGACATGAAGGTTGGATGGAAGATGAGAATGGCCAACGTTCAACCTGGAGGGAAATTCTGATGCGTCATAATGGAGAAGATGATGAATGGGAAGGAGAGGCGTCTGCCGAGGAAGACTTAGATGGGGAGGAACCTGCTGAGGAGGAGGATGTCAACCATGGAGGAATTAAGATGTGGGAGGAAGATGATGGGCGTACTTATTTTAGTTGCACCAAAAGAGCAAGGAAGAGAATGAGGAAACCTTGGGAGAAAGCTCTGATTGTTAAACTCCTTGGGAAGAAAATTGGGGTGGAGTTTATGAAGAAAAAAATAAATGTCTTATGGGCTAGAAAAGGCAAAATCAATGTCACTGATATTGGTAATGACTTTTTCGTAGTCCAGTTTAGTGAGAAGGATGATCTCAATTTTGCGTTGAACGGTGGTCCATGGATTGTTTTGGGTCATTATTTATCGTTGAGGAAGTGGGAACCAACTTTCAGACCTAATAGTGCTGGAATTGCTAAGATTGCTGCTTGGATTCGTCTACCGGATATTCCCATTGAATTCTATGATGAAGCTTTTTTTAGAAGGATTGGAAACTGGTTAGGCAAGATGATCAAGGTAGACAGCAATACAAATGCTCATGTAAGAGGACGGTTTGCAAGAATATGTGTGGAACTGGACCTATCTCAGCCATTAAAGGGTGATTATGTGCTGGAAGGATTTACCAAACAAATTGAGTATGAAGGATTAGGGCTCATTTGTTTTGGTTGTGGGAAATATGGACATAGCACCGAGAATTGTTCAGCTGCTCCAAAGCAACGCAGTTCATCCGATATTCATAATGACGATCAAATTCATCAAGAGGAACCTGGCAACTCAGAATTCCATCGAAGTAAAGGATTGGGACCTTGGATGGTTGTTAATCGTCAACGCAGGAGCCGGCAACCTCCTCAGACGGCCGGTGCAGTCCAGCCAGGCGCTGGTTCAAAAACGTTACAAAGGAATAATGATAAGGGAGTTATGACCAGCGATAATCATGGAGATAATCATGGTGATAAGAGAGTTATGACCAGCGATAATCATGGTAATCATGGTAATAAGGGAGTTATGACCAGCGATAATCATGGTAATCATGGTAATAAGGGAGTTATGACCAGCGATAATCATGGAGATAATCATGGTGATAAGGAGGAAATTACGCAATCACGGTTTGCAATCTTAACAGCTGGACCTATTAATGAGGAGGATCATAATCAAATAATTAATTCTGTTACTCCTCATATGGGGCCCCTCAGTTTGAAATTCCTCAGAAAATATGGACTAAATCCAAAAAGTCCAAAGATACCCCTAGGACTAAATCAACGGTTCCTACTATGCATGCGGCTCATTCTTCAAGCACGGGTAAGAGGTGTCCAGTCCAGAGTGAAAATCGTGAAGATCATACTCCCGTTCCACCATCTCCATCAATTGCTACTCCCATGGCGGTTAGTCCTATGCAAGCAAATCAACATGATCAGGAAAATGGGATGAAAGCAGATAGCACTTTGAACCAGAATCAAGAGCAGTTATATGACACATTTCATAAAACTGGTCCTGATATATCAGTTGACAACAGCAGCGACATCCAAAATCCTGAAACCTCAACCATCTCTACGTGCATGGAGGTGGACAGAGTTCACCAGGAAGATATTTCAAGAATGAAGGATGCAAGAACCTTGGAGTCTTGCGTTCAACATAGTTTTTAATGAATTTATTCTTCTGGAACTGTAGGGGAGCAGTGAAACCCCAGTTTCAAAATTCGCTTTTTCTGTTTACTAGGAAATATAAGCCTAGTATTGTAGTGATTCTAGAACCTCGGTGTAGTGGTCAAAAAGCTTCTGACATTATCCGAAAATCTGGGTTTAAGCATGCTTTTGTTCAAGAGGCAGAAGGTTACTCAGGGGGTATTTGGATCCTCTGGAATGATGAGACTGGTCTCGTTGAAATTATTAATCACACAAAACAGTTTGTTCATTTTAAAGTTCAGAATTTTCATGTTCCTTCCTTTTCTTGCACGGCAGTTTATGCGAGTCCTAGGGAAGAAAATAGAAAGGAGCTATGGGATGATCTGCTAAACATTAGTCTCCATTGTAATGGGCCGTGGTTGGTGGCTGGGGATTTTAATGAAATAGCAAATCGGGATGAGAAGAAAGGTGGCTGTAGAGTTAACTTAAACAGATGTTCCAATTTTGCAAATGTTCTTCATAATTGCAAGCTGCTGGATCTTGGAGGATCAGGTCCTTGGTTTACATGGAAGGGTCCGAAGTTTCTTCATCTTGATCGTGTTTTTAAGAGGCTGGACCGAGCCTGTGCTAATGCAAGTTGGAAGACTACCTTTACTGATGCTGGCGTTAAGGTACTTCCACGGATTTATTCTGATCATAGTCCCATTTTGGTCTACTTGTCTAACTTGGACACAGGTTGGAAAAATCGTCCCTTTCGCTTTGAGATTGCTTGGATGGAGCATTATAACTTTACTCAGTTTCTGGCTAGGAGCTGGAATGTTGTGAAAGACACTAGAACGAATCTGCATGATCTGACTCCAAATTTAAAAAGATGGAACAAGATAGTCTTTGGCAACATTTTCAATAGGAAGACTAACCTATTGCATAGTATTGCAGAAATTCAGAATCATGTTGATTATCATACCAACTTATCTCTCCAATCTAGAGAAAAGGAGGTTAGGAAGGACCTTGATGCGGTTCTCATACAAGAAGAGATCTTATGGTTTCAAAAAGCCAGGGTGAAATGGATAAATGATGGGGATAGAAACACCAAATTCTATCACATTAAAACAGCTACTCGAAGAAGTTCGAATAGGATTCTTGAGTTAAAAAATTCTGATGGGATTTGGGTGAAGGAAGCTAGACAACTTCATCAATTGGTAACAGATTTCTATAGCAACTTGTTTAGTGAGGAAGTCCTTAATCGTGATTGGGTGAAATCAAAGACTACTTGGCCCCTTCTGCACGATGATCTGCTATCTAATTTGACTCGTAATCTTTCGGATGACGAAATTTCAAAAGCTGTTTTTAGTATCAATGGGTCAAAAGCTCCAGGGGAAGATGGTTTTCCAGCTGCCTTTTTTCATAAGAATTGGAGTCTTATTAAGACTAATGTTATTAAGGATGTTAACATGATGTTTCAGAATCCCAATCTGATTCACCTTGTGAACTCGACTCTTCTGGTCCTCATTCCAAAAGTAAAGAGACCTGAAAGTGCTAAGCAGCTCAGACCAATCTCTTTGTGCAATGTCATTTATAAAATCCTCAGTAAAATTCTGGTTAACAGAATGAAGCCCCTAATGGAAGAGATGGTGTCTCCCTTCCAAGCTAGTTTTGTTCCTAAACGACATATCCAGGACAACATCATCATCACCCAAGAGCTGATCCATTCAATGCGTAGAATGAGAGGAAGAAAGTGTTTCATGGCAATTAAAATCGACTTGGAAAAGGCTTATGATATGTTAAATTGGGAGTTTGTTCGTAAAATTTTGGATGAAATTCAAATCCCACACTGGTTCACAAATATTATCATGAATTGTATCAACTCTGATAAGGTCTCAGTGCTTTGGAATGGAGCCATTGCAGGTGACTTCCTTCCTTCAAGAGGAGTTCGTCAGGGTGATCCTTTATCTCCCTACATTTTTGTTCTAGCCATGGAAAAATTGTCTCATCTCATTCAAGATCCCATCTGATGTTTGCTGATGATTTGATGTTGTTTGCAGAAGCTTCTCTAGATCAAATCAAAGTTATAGTGGATTGCTTGGAGACTTTTAGTTCAATGTCTGGCCTAAAGGTTAGTATTCCGAAATCTAGTATTTTTTTCTCGAAAAATACAGATGCTCACATTGCAGATGATATCACAAATGTGTGTGGCTTCAAGCAAACTCACAATATAGGGAGATATCTTGGGTCCATAGGTTGGCTGCTCTTTTAGTTAAAACCGCGTATTATAACATGCTTGGTTTCCCTCTCATGCCGTTGAAAAATTCTTGGACTACCATATGGAAATGGCATGGGCCTCAACGTGTTAAATCTTGTATGTGGATCATAATGCATGGCCGCCTTCTTACTAAAGACCGCACATCTAGATGGAGTGGGAATCTGGTCATTGTAAAATATGTCCTGGTGAGTTGGAAACAAACCTCCATGTTCTAAGAGATTGTAAGCATGCTAGAAGTGTTTGGAATTCTCTGGTTTCAGCTAATCGGCAGAGCTTATTCTACAGCTTGGATCTTAGAGATTGGGTTGAAAATAATATCTCAAAAGCTTGGAATCAAAGTAATTCAGATGATTGGCGTGATGTCTTTTTTATCTATTGTTGGTTCATTTGGGGATGGAGGAACAAAAGTGTCCATGATACTAACTTCAAGCATCCAACCCATGTAACGCACATAATTGCTATGTATATAGAGGAAGTTCGTAACTCCATGGGTTGGAGCTATGGCTACTACTAGCATTCATCCAA